TACATGCCAAAATTACTGTCTTTTGGATTGAATCCGTCTTAAAGGACCATTTGCACCAAAATGAAAAGGTTTGGGAACCATTGCACTACTTTTGAAAGGTTTGGACCAATTGTACTGTACGTGCAAAGGTTTGGGACCATTTCCACTAAAATAAGACAAAATATTGGTTAGGAACATAATTGGTAATTTCATCAAAGTTGAGACAACATATGCCATTTTTCCTTAAAAGAAAGTATTGTCAATGCTCCAAACTCTCAGCAGTACTTCCCAATTCTAGATTACCATGAGCTACATACCCTCTATAATGTCAAAGTTACAAGTTCGATCAATCACCTAGAGGAGGGTGAATAAGTGAATAACGTCGAATTAAAATTACTAATTAAAAGTAACATTTTATTTTTTAATTGTTCCAGATGTTTAGTCAATCAAATCAAGTTAATCATAGGTTGAATTGCCACAATAATAAATAAAATATTAAATAATACAAGATTTGTTGATGGAGAAAATTTTTAACTGAGTAAAAACTCCAGAACCAAACCGTAACCTCCACTATAGATAATAAGAACTTACAGCATGATCCACCATAGAAAACAACTAGACCCGTTGATCTAATTCCTGCAATCTACAATATTTGTTGGAACCTGCCACACTTGCTCTCGATTTTCTGAAATTGTCTATTTCCCGAGGAATACCAAAAATACCTTGTTTTGGTCCAATCTCCTTCAATCTTTAATAACCTCTGAAAGCTAATATAAAGCTTCAATGTTTTCACCAAAACCCACGGTTAGTTAATCTCAGGAATCAAAAGATTAATCCCAATGTCTGGATGTATTCTTGGATCATGAAATAATATTATGAAAATATATTATAATGATCAACCACACAGAAAAATGTAATGAGCATTGAGTATGTATAATAGGAAGCATTTAAGTAGTAAATGATATATAGAACTCTCGAAAATCGTGAACTAGAGTTTCATGAGCAACATAGCGCTCGAGCTCCAGGCGGGCGACCTTGATTCTGTTTTGGACGCTCGAGCATTAACTTGGCGACATGTTAGTATAAATCCAACAACTCTTTCTACATGTTTCATACTCGAACTCAAAGACTCATAGTTCATCTATACAACACTCCAAAATATTCTTAGACTTTTACAACTCTTTTATAATAATCACTTTGTCTAAAAAATAGTAAATACAACTTAAAACCTAACATAATGTCCACCAGACACTGGGATGAATGTCGATGTCCTTGATGATAATTAATCTTTCTAATATATCAAGAAATCTAGCTTGACTGAACAGGTCACTAATACAAGAAAAATGGTTTACTTAAGGTTCTGTACCATAAGTATCAACCATTGAACTGAATTTCCTAATGTCGTCAGCAACTAAACCTGAATGGGTACCAGCTCGAGTCTCAATGTTCAATGTTGAGATAACTCTAAACTAAAAGATTCAACTGATCTATATTCCTTGATTTTATCTTCATCCAGTAATTAATGGAGCTTCATTAGCGACTTGGTGAAATTCCCTTTTGTGGCGATTAGAGAATAAGCTAACTTCGATGATAAAAAGTTTCCAATTTGATCACGAATTGCAAATCATTCTTCTGATAAACAAAATAAAATCATACTACAGATTAAGGTTTCACATGCTAACTCTCCCAGGATTAGCCCTGAGAATTTTAAGATTTTAAGCGACTAGTTATTATGATGCCCTGTAATTTTATTTTTTCACACGTATAGCAATATTTAAAGAAAAAATATATTTATATTTAAATGAAAATTGCAAAATAAAATATCACTCACAACCCGAGAGATTAGGTTATTATCATATTTAGTCTTCTCACATTATGATATGCAAATAGTAACCAGACAATTCAAATCAAGTTTTTTTAACATATTTTTTTCAATAGAAATCACAATTAATCTATTCAAATTGAAAGTGGATAGCTCAAAGCGAATCTTCTAGATCTAGAAAACCTTCCCTTTTCTTCTCTTTTCTTTCCCTTATCTCTCGGGTCCTCAACCAAATTTTATCCATTTTGACAAAGTTAGATGAAGAAGGTGTGCTAAAAGAAATTTACCCAAGGTATTAATAGTTATCAATTGACTTACAACTTAAGGGCATGTTTGAACTCCATTTTTTTTTTTTTTATAAAATGCATTTTAGGATAGTAGATTGATAGAGAATGTGTAATTAAAAAAATAAGAAAAATGTTTGAATTTACGTGTAATATTATTTTATTGAAAAATGTGTAATTAAAAAGAAGAGAGAAAAATAGATTTTGAAAAAAAATGGGTATCAAACTAACGGATAAATATGTTCAATAGGATTATTCTAGTTGGCTTAAGAGAATAATTATATGGAGACACGGCATTTATGTTGGAATGAGGGACACAAAATATAGATTCCACGCGAGTTCATTGAAAGCAATGGAAATGATAAAAGAAAAAGAAAAAAAAAACTACAATTCATCCCTTCTTTTGTAGGAGCCCGTTACAATTTTGAGACCCTAGGCCCTTGCCTAGGTGGTTTGGTAGCCTCCCGATGTTTACGAAATTTGATATTTGCTAAGTCAAAACTCGTCATTTCACTTATCAAACTAAGAGCTTGTTTGGGAGATATTTTTGGGGGAAGAATTGATTTTGAATAGTGATATGATGGGAAATGTGTGGTTGAAAAAGAAGAAAAATTACTGATGTGATGGAAAATATTATTTTATTGAAGAATGTTTGGTTGAAAATAAAAATTGATTTACTGTAGAAAAATTTAATCTCTCCCAAACAGGGCCTAAATAATATATACAACATCCAATTTGAAATTCCTTTCGATTGAAGGGAACATGGATTAGGGTTCATATGCCATTGGATTTGATTTGGGACTGTAGTTTATAACTTAAATGAAAAAAGACGGTATTTAAGATTTGTCATGGAGGAACGATTATTAACATTGTGCTCGCCATATTGAATTTTAAGTTGTCGCATTGACCTTATACCTTGACGTTGTGAATAAAATCATGAAACCTATGTTTGAGCTTCATTCTTTAAAAATAATTCTTTTTGTAAACTTATTTGTAATCATACATTCTTCTAATAAAATAATTTTACACGTATATTTAAAAAAATGTCAATAACGTTAAGGAGTTTTGAGATACCAATTATGAGTGTTTTTCAATGTATTGTTTTTGGACGTTTCGATTTCGGGTAGTTTTTAAAATTGGCCTACTATGTTTGGAGTCTATTAATATCCCTTGGTTTTGAAAGTTATTTAAAACTAAAATTACATATATATCCCTTAATGATATTTTCAATTGATAATTTTTTGTATGGAATTTTTTTCACTTATAAATGACAATTTTTTATAAGTAAGTTTTTATATATAAGTTAATTTTAACTTAAAATGACATATTTACTTTCGATTAAAAAAATGTCAATAACGTTAAGGAGTTTTGAGATATCAATTATGAGTGTTTTTTAATGTATTGTTTTTGGATGTTTATGAGGGGTTCGATTTCGGGTAGTTTTTAAAATTGGCCTACTAGGCTCCTGTTTGACACACATTATTTTTTTCATTCTCATTCTTCTACTTATTTTCAACCACACATTTTTCAATAAAATAATATTTTCCATCAAACCAATAACTTTTCCTTCTTTTTAACCACATATTCCTTATCACACCACTTCAAAAAAATGCATTCTTTGATTTTAATATGCACCAAACACACTAATATCCCTTGGTTTTGAAAGTTAAAAATTGGCGCGTAGAGGGAAAAAGAGTGGCCCATTTTCCATGCCAAATTGTTGCTGTCAAACACTACTAAAAGGGAAAAGTTGAAAAATATTTTCTTTTTCTACCCATTTTCCATGCTATCAAACACACCCTTCAATGAAAAAAGACGGTATTTAAGGTTGGCGATTTGTCATGGAGGAACGATTATTAACATTGTGCTCGCCATATTGAATTTTAACGTTGTCGCATTGACCTTATACCTTGACGTTGTTAATAAAATCATGAAACCTATGTTTGAGCTTCATTCTTTAAAAATAATTCTTTTTATAAACTTATTTTTAATCATACATTCTTCTAATAAAATAATTTTACACGTATATTTTAAAAAATGTCAATAACGTTAAGGAGTTTTGAGATACCAATTATGAGTGTTTTTTAATGTATTGTTTTTGGATGTTTATGAGGGGTTCAATTTCGGGTAGTTTTTAAAATTGGCCTGTTTGACACACATTATTTTTTTCATTCTCATTCTTCTACTTATTTTCAACCACACATTTTTTTATAAAATAATATTTTTCATCAAACCAATAACTCTTCCTTCTTTTTTAACCACATATTCCCCATCACATCATTTCTAAAAAATGCATTCTTTCGTTTTAATATGCACCAAACACACTAATATCCCTTGGTTTTGAAAGTTATTTAAAAACTAAAATTACATATATATATCCCTTAATGATATTTTCAATTGATAATTTTTTGCATGGAGTTTTTTCACTTATAAGTGACATTTTTTTATAAGTAAATTTTTATATATAAGTTAATTTTAACTTAAAATGAACTATTTACTTTGGATTAAAATTTAAAGTGATAAGTTCTTTTTTCCTCAAGTAAATTTTACAGTTATAGGTTTATTTTGTATTTATAAATAATTTTTTTACATATAAGCGAATTTTTACTTTTAAAGTAATGTTGTATATTTTATAAGTGATTTTTGTCTTATCAGAGGTTTTTTTTTTTTATACAAAAGTGAATTTATAATTTATAAGTAATTTTTTTACTTGTAAGTAAATCTTATAGTATAAAATAAATTTGTTGCTTATAATAATTTTTTTAGTTATTGTATTTTATTTATAAGTTAATTTCAAAGAATAATAAGTTGGTTGGAAATAATTGTTTTATAGATGAAGCTGCCTTTCCTGAAATTGAACCACCTTATTTTGAAGTTTCTTGAATCTATATTACATTGTAAGCCTGTAACACTACTCAATTCAGTGTCGACATACAATAGTTCTTGATGATCGTTGGAAAAAAAGGATTCACAGGCAACGCCTTTGGCCAACAGTTGCGTTCAACATTCAAGAGTGCTTCACAGCATTCCGGGCCAAGTAATTCCGCTTCAAAGTTCAACATGGATATTATGTGTTCCATGGGACACCTCGGGATGGTTACAACCGAACGAAGGCATTGCAGAAAGTGAAACAAACCGACACCGGGTCCGGGGATGTATAGTTCACTTGCATCAAGTTGTTGTGCAAAGTTTGGTGCAGCCATCATCGAAATGCACACAAATATTACAAGGGAAACTGCCTGCATGGTTCTGGTGTAAGGCATTTTCGATTTAGACGGCTTAAACAATTCGAAGTGAGAAATTTATAGGTTTTTGAAACTGTTTTTTCTTCTTTGCTATTTAATTTCTACCTTCCTTTAAGAATTTTATTGCATTTATAGTCTTTTAAATTTTCCACATTGGTTAAAGTATGACAGTTTCTACAATTAAATTAGTAATTATGCTCGAATGGAAACTGAAATTGCCGAGTAGAAATATTTTGAACCATTAATGCGGGTTGATCCATTGCAAATATGTGACCTTTTAATTAGAAATATTTACAGACGCAAATGTTTTCTTCCGTACACTTTGACTTCTTAGGGAGTCGAGAATGGGGTTTGAAAGAATTTATAAACAGTTTAATTTATAAATAAATGTGCAGTTGAAAATGAAATTGACCATTGTTTATAGTATAAATTGATTTATAAAATTTGCCAAATGCATGGTTGAATGTTTAACCATATATCGTCAAACTGAAGTAGGAGATTCTAAATTGAAGGATACATTAATTAAATGTGTATTATAAATGAAAATTCTAAGTAAATTTGTTACTTTATAACGTCATGTGGTTGCCTTGTTATACGTTAGGGTTCCATTAAAAGCAAAAAATGTATTTTCATTCCCTGCAATTTTGGGTTCGCACTGATGGAATTTATCGGAAAGTGGGGAGCAACACAGGGCTATGTTGACTTATGGAGGATGACATGATAGTTCAAAAATTAGGGACTGTTTGAATGGCCTAATTTTCTTTGGAAGTAGGAAAATGAATTCATTTTTCTTGGTATTGACATGTTTGATAAGTAACATTTTCTAGGGCAAATGTTTTCTTGGCATGAAGTTCACGCGCTGCAATTCCTTGTTTTTGGGGAAATCACTTTCCCACCAAAATGGTGGGAAAATGATTTCCATCTGCTGCTTTTTTTTTTGGCAATGGAAACAAATATTATAATTAATTGTAAAAAAAATTCACTTTAATGGACAATTTTCATATAAAATAAAGTCAAACGAACACTAAACTTTGATTAAAAAATGATTTTTTAGGAAATACTTTTTTTTTTACTTTTTGGCAATGGAAACAAATTTTATAATCAATTGTGAAAAAAAATACTTTAATTGACAATTTTCATGTAAAACAAAGCCAAACGAATATAAATTTAAAAATTTTCCGAGTGAAAATTATACCAATCAAACACACTTGAAATCATTTTCCCTACAAAACATTTTCTAGACAAATCTTTTCTCTATAAAATATTTTCTTTCCACCTTTGCAATCAAATGCACCCTTAGTGAATTTCAATTTTACACTTGCAGTACATTATGCTAACGAATTGACTTGTGTTGATTTCTTCTGGAATTTTGAAAAAAA